TATATTATTGTATGCATGCATTACTTATTAAAAATAAAAAAAATTAAAGGAGCTTTTATTTTGAAGTAGAGGATAAAGCAAATGCACAAATGAGTCAAAAAACACAGGTATCCTGTTGAGTAATGAGAGTCCTTTGGCATTAAGAGCAAAGTGGTCACCTCTGTTTGGGAGGATCAGGAAAGTCTTTCTAAGGGAAGTGTTGTTGGTCTTATGCCTCGGCGGCCTGGATAAAATTTCAATTAACAGAGAGTGAGGGTCCTGAAGGAGGCATTTCACAGGAAGGAGAATGGTGAGAACAAAGGCCAGAGGTTGGCAAGGGGACCAACCCCCTGGAGAACTCAGTAGGCCTATTTGTGGCATAGTAGGTCTGTGCAGGGAGAGGTGGTGGATAGAGGTGGCAGAAGTCTAGAATCAAAATGTGGAAGATCTTAGTTTCTAGGCTGGGGTATATAAAGTCTGCATAATAGATTAAAAAAAAGAAAGATTTGTAGCTGGAGATGACATCAGACCTCTCCTCTAACAAGAGTTTATATATAATAGTTTTTCTTGGAAAAAAGGAAATTAACAGTATAAGTGCTTATTAGATTAGGGAATACTGGCAATATTATATATCTGAGGTTGTAATCATTTAAAACCTTTTTTTCCCCATTTTTCTACATTAAGTAGAAACCTTATTGAATTTTAATGGCACTAGAAACTAAAAAGTTTTAATTCCAACTCTGCTAAGTAAGAAAACTGCAACAACAATAAAAAAGATTACGAAAGGGACCAAAAAGCACTGAATAATGACCAAAAAATTGAAATCAGAAAATCAGTTCAGATTTTCAGTGAGTATGAGGCAGATGAAAATAGACTTCTAACTCTGAGATTATGCATTTCTGTATTATAGGAGTTTCTCGTTTTTAACTCTTAAACATATTAATTTAAAATTTTATGTGCATAAATGCTTTGCATAGGTTATTTTCAGAAAATGAACTGTGGATATCATATACAGATTCTGAAGGAATGGAAAATGTATTTAAATTAAAATGAGAAGCTTAAATTGGATAGATGTGAATGAAATGCTTCATAGAAGGTATCCATAGAAACCACTTAAAATAAAGAGAAATGTTAATTCTCTTTGTAAATTGAGCTCCCAGAATCAAAATGAGAGTGAGGCATTTAGTGTAGGTGCAAATACACTTTGGCCTTATCTACGTGAAACACACAAATTGACAATTTTATATATATATATATATATATATATGTTTGTTGTTGTTGTTTAGTTTTGTTTTGTTCGCGGTATGCGGGCCTCTCACTGCCGTGGCCTCTCCCGTTGCGGAGTACAGGCTCTGGACGCACAGGTTCAGTGGCCATGGCTCACGGGCCCAGCCACTCCGCGGCACATGGGACCTTCCTGGACCGGGGCACGAACCCATGTCCCCTGCATCGGCAAGCGGACTCTCAACCACTGCGCCACCAGGGAAGCCCGACAATTATATTTTTTTGGCCATGGTCTCGGCTGATAATCACAATCGATTTATGGCCATACTTCATCATGGTTCAACCACACTTCCGAGAGTGGTTCGAGACCCGCGGGTGCTCTCCAGCCCTTTAAAAAAAAAAAAAAAATGGCCATATAGTTCATGGGATTCAGTTAGTAAAGTAGCTAAGCTACATTGGCCCAACTTGTTGATTTAATCAAGTGTGTGACCAGAGAATCATCTCTGTGGTATCCCAACCTTTCAGCAGTCTCTTGACTACACAAGACATTAAACTAACTACCACTGTACAGTGATTATATATGCCAACTGGGGACACCATTAAAAATAATTTGTGAAAGAATAAATTTTCCTATGCCAACTTCCCAGAAAAGTCTTCATTTTCCACATTCAATTCTAGGCCTGCGCGAGAGCAGACATGTTTTATGTTGCTGCAGTCACAAAGTTTGGAACTCAAAGTTCTGCTTCTGTTTTTTAATATATAAAATGTAAACATTTTCTGGTTACATTTCTTCTTAATTTTCCTTTGTCACAATCACAAATGATGTCACTGAGTTGATGATCACTTCAGAAAATCTAACTTCATTATTACTAACCATAATAATCCATTATTGCTAACTGTACTTTTCTCCTCCTCCTCCCCCTTATAGGTGGTTCTGTGATGAACTACTTTTGACTTCACTCACTTCATAATCCAGCTGATGTACTCTAGACCTGCTGTTTGTAATGGCCTTAGACATTCTCAAACATTTAGGCTGAAGAACATCTTTATACTCTTAAGAATTATTGAGGAGCAAAAGAGATTTTTTTAATGTTTATTTTTTATTTATTTATTTTTCTTATTAGTCATCCAATTCATACACATCAGTGTATACATGTCAATTCCAACCTCCCAATTCATCACACCCCCACCCCCACCCCCATGGCTTCGCCCCTTAGTGTCCATACGTTTTTTCTCTACTTCTGTGTCTCAATTTCTGCTCTGCAAACCGGTTCATCTATACAATTTTCTAGGTTCCATATATATGCATTAATATACGATATTTGTTTTTCTCTTTCTGACTAACTTCACTCTGTATGACAGTCTCTAGATGCATCCACGTCTCTACAAATGAACCAATTTCGTTCCTTTTTATGGCAGAGTAATATTCCATTGTACATATGTACCACATCTTCTTTATCCATTCGTCTGTCGATGGGAATTTAGGTTGTTTCCATGACCTGGCTATTGTAAATAGTGCTGCAATGAACACTGGGGTGCATGTGTCTTTCTGAATTATGGTTTTCTCTGGGTATATGCCCAGTAGAGGAATTGCTGGGTCACATGGTAATTCTAGTTTTAGTTCTTTAAGGAACCTCCATACTGTTTTCCATAGTGGCTGTATCAATTTACATTCCCACCAACAGTGCAAGAGGGTTCCTTTTCTCCACACCCTCTCCAGCATTTGTTGTGTGTCGATTTTCTGATGATGCCCATTCTAACTGGTGTGAGGTGATACCTCACTGTAGTTTTGATTTGCATTTCTCTAATAATTAGTGATGTTGAGCAGCTTTTCATGTGCTTCTTGGCCATCTGTATGTCTTCTTTGGAGAAATGTCTATTTAGGTCTTCTGCCCATTTTTTGATTGGGTTGTTTGTTTTCTTAATACTGAGTGGTATGAGCTGTTTATATATTTTGGAGATTAATCCTTTGTCTGATGATTCATTTGCAAATATTTTCTCCCATTCTGAGGGTTGCCTTTTCGTCTTGTTTATAGTTTCCTTTGCTGTGCAAAAGCTTTTAAGTTTCATTAGGTCCCATTTGTGTTTTTTGTTTCTTTTTTTTTTTTTTTTTTTTTGTGGTACACGGGCCTCTCACTGTTGTGGCCTCTCCCATTGTAGAACACAGGCTCCGGACGCGCAGGCTCAGCAGCCATGGCTCACGGGCCTAGCCGCTCTGTGGCATGTGGGATCTTCCCTGACCGGGGCACGAACCTGTGTCCCCTGCGTCGGCAGGCGGACCCTCAACCACTGCGCCACAAGGGAAGCCCTATTTTTGTTTTTATTTCCATTACTCTAGGAGGTGGACCAAAAAAGATCTTGCTGTGATTTATGTCAAAGAGTGTTCTTCCTATGTTTTCCTCTAAGAGTTTTATAGTGCCCGGTTTTACATTTAGGTCTCTAATCCATTTTGAGTTTATTCTTATGTATGGTGTTAGGGAGTGTTCTCATCTCATTCTTTTACATGTAGCTTTCCAGTTTTCCCAGCACCACTTATTGAAGAGACTGTCTTTTCTCCATTGTATATCCTTGCCTCCTTTGTCATAGATTAGTTGACCATAGGTGCGTGGGTTTATCTCTGGGCTTTCTACCCTGTTCCATTGACCTATATTTCTGTTTTTGTGCCAGTACCATATTGTCTTGATTACTGTAGCTTTGTACTATCCTCTGAAGTCAGGGAGTCTGATTTCTCCAGCTCCATTTTTTTCCCTCAAGACGGCTTTGGCTATTCAGGATCTTTTGTGTCTCCATACAAATTTTAAGATTTTTTGCTTTAGCTCTGTAAAAAACACCATTGGTAATTTGATAGGGATTGCATTGAATGTGCAGATTGCTTTGGGTAGTATAGTCATTTTCACAATATTGATTCTTCCAATCCAAGAACATGGTATATCTCAACCATCTGTTGGTATCATCTTTAATTTCTTTCATCAGTGTCTTATAGTTTTCTGCATACAGGTCTATTGTCTCCCTAGGTAGGTTTATTCCTAGGTATTTTATTCTTTTTGTTGCAATGGCAAATGAGAGTGTTTCCCTAATCTCTCTTTCAGATTTTTCATCATTAGTGTATTGGAATGCAAGAGATTTCTGTGCATTAATTTTGTATCCTGCAACTTTACCTAATTCATTGATTAGCTCTAATAGTTTTCTGGTGGCATCTTTAGGATTCTCTATGTATAGTATCATGTCATCTGCAAACAGTGACAGTTTTACTTCTTCTTTTCCAATTTGTATTCCTTTTATTTCTTTATCTTCTCTGATTACTGGTTCCTTCTAGTGTATTTTTTATTTCAGTTATTATATTGTTCATCTCTGTTTGCTTGTTCTTTAATTCTTCTTGTTGTTTGTTCTTTAATTCTTCTGGGTCTTTGTTAAACATTTCTTGCATCTTCTCGATCGTTGCCTCCGTTCTTTTTCTGAGGTCTTGGATCATCCTCACTATCATTATTCTGAATTCTTTTTCTGAAAGGTTGCCTATCTCCACTTCATTAAGTTGTTTTTCTGGGGTTTTATCTTGTTCCTTCATCTGGTACATAGTCCTCTGCTTTTTCATTTTGTCTATCTTTCTGTGAATGTGGTTTTTGTTCTACAGGCTGCAGGATTGTAGTTCTTCTTGCTTCTGCTGTCTGCCCTCTGGTGGATCAAGATTTTTTAATGTGGATTATATCAACCATATTTACCATATAAGAAGGTAAATTGAGATATTTTAAAAATATTTATTTTAAAATAACGAATTCATTGTATGTTAACATAAATAACTTAATTTTTATGGAAAAATAGATTTACCCATGTTAAAAAAAAATTAGTGAGAAGAGTGACATTGTTTAACATTTTGCAAATCTCCTTAATGTCTGTGTCAATGGAAGACAGCTGGATTCTCATATCTACTTCTGCTTTCCATCTGTTGCAGTATCTCACTTCATGTAGCCTCTGGAAAACTGAGTAAAAAAAGCATGAACATCTTAGTATTATTATGAAAATAGTTTTGACCCGAATGGGTATTGGTTATCCCCAGGGCCTTCAACCACACTTTGAAAACCTACTGTACACACCATGGTAAATATGAAAAATTATTACCTGGCTAAAGGGTTGGAAGTCCTTCCCAGACTTCCCAGAGAAGAGTCTTTCTTTATTGTATTTTGCTGTTCAAAGAAATTGATAACAGTGATTTTTTTACTGTCAAATTCCCTCCCTATCAAGAAATACTCACTAGGTGCTAAGGAACTAAGTTTCAAATTTACCAGTAATTAATATAACTTTCCTCATTAGCATCGAAGTATTTTAGAGCTAGAAATGCTAAAAGAGAAACCCACAACATCATCTGGTCAAATATGAGATGGGGACCACTGGTTGTACGCAAAAAATATTTTAGGTAATACACAGCCAAACATTAAGTAACATTGAGTAAAGGGAGTGAGAAAGTTGTCTCTTGTTGGTTTCTCTTTCCACGTGGTTACATTGAGGCCAAGTCTTAGCTTGACTGTTAGTATGTCCTCTATATAACTTAACTAACTTGCAGTGTCTTTAACCAGCTTGCATATTTTCCAATTTAACATAAGGTTAGCCTAAGGAGTCTTAGAGCCTTAGGCCAGCAACAGTATCCAGCTAGAATTTAACGGTATATTTTTTATCATCTTATTTTTATTACTACCATCTACTTAGAGCACGACATTTCGGTTTTTAATTTAATAACGTTTAATTTTAAAACATTTGGATTTAAAGAAAAAAGTTATTAAATAATAGTATGAATGGTATAAGTAATAAAGTGCATGATGGAGGTTTGGGAAAAAACTGATTTAATTCTGTCCTCAATTTACAGTTAGGGAAATCAAAGCACGGAGAAAATTGACTTGCTTGAGATGGCCACAGTCAGAGACTTTAACTCTGGCCTCCTAACTCTCAATCAAGAGCTCTTTCTGCTACAGCATGAATGAGTGCTGATGTCTAACATTTAACATTTCAGTGTTAGAGCCTCCCCTGAAGTCAGACAAATCTAGGTTAAAACCCCTGCGCCATCCTGGGCTAGCTGTATAATCTTAGACAGACTTCTTAGCTTCTATCTCCTCGGTTTCTTCACTTATGAAGTCAACATAATCCCCATTTCACATTAACATTTTGCCTATCTTAAATGAGATAATATTTTAAGTGGTTTGAAATGGCTCCTGGCACTCAATAGACAGAGTTATTTTTATTAGCTGAAGTTACTCTTAGTGAACTGCAGAGCATTTGGAGCAAAAGAATCTTCGTAGCCAGGGCTTGGCTCCAGTGTGTGTGAACTGCATCTGCCACTTGGATCCTTACTTAATTAAAGGCTGGAAATCATTGCATTTCTCTGAAGGAGGCTAACACGCCTTTGGTTGCAGGAAGTGAAGGTTAAACGCGTTAACTGGGAAACTTATGTAACCAAGGGTTAAAATAGCCTTGAAGCCAAAACCAAAGAATTCTGGCCTCTGGTGTGTGAGGCAAAGCCAAGCATGTTTGCCTTTGTGAGCCCAGGAATGCTTCTGGTGAGGCTTGTTTGTTGTGGAAACTGACATGATCAAAGTGGGGAGAATTAAAACGATCTATCAGAATAATAGTCAAGGCTGTATATGAACTCCCCAGACAGAGCGTTGAACCTGAAGTCTCCCACTGAGGACAGACAAGCCAGCTGACAGAAGCTGGGAAGAAAAGAAATGCATCTCTCTAAGGCAGATGAGTGCAGCTGGGAGATAAAGACCCTGGTTGGGGAACTCAAGATGAGAGTTCAGATTTAGCAGACAGAAAGGTGAAATGGAATGCTGAACTTGTGGTCTTTAGGATTCTTGCAACACCAACGTTGTGGTTTTCAGGTGTCAGTTTTTAGAGTGGAGTTACTAAGTGAAGCAGGCACTTTTAGTAGTAAAGCATTTGGGGTGGGGAAACTGTGCCAATTGTAATAAGATCCTGTGCCAGTTGCACTGGAATGTTCTAAGGCATGATGTCATGCTTCTTCCCATATTAATTTCCAAATGTTGAAAAATTCTCATTATGATTAAGTAGACTTAAGGGTCCCTAAGTGGCTGGCATGATTTTGGATTGTTTGCTCACTTAGTCCTTCATCCCAGGATGAAGATTAGTAAAACTCTGTGATGTTCTAGCAAGTATGAAATGACACTGGAGCCCCAACTGTTGCTAAATCCTTATCAAGGCATACAAAGAATCATAAAACAGACAGATTGGAAAAGATTTTAAGGAAATCCAGTCCTATTCACATATTTTAGAGAAGGGGAAACTGAGGCCTGGAGAGAGGAAATGACTTGCTCAATACTACACAGTCTTCTGCTTTGCAGGCCAATGCTTGCCTGCTGCCACGCCAAAGAATCCCCAGCAGATAGACTATTGGCCTAGAATAATGCCCACAGGGCGAGAGTCACCTTCCGGGGCGTCCGTACTTTGAAATGCTGCAGGGATATCACTCTGTTTTTATTTTTGAAAATTATACTAACACTCCTGCTTTTTGTTTTGTTTTTCCTTTGTGTATATTGGCCTATCTTTTTATCTCTGTCCCTCCCTGGGCATACGTCACCAGGACTCTCCTGACAGAGGTAGATAAATGCAGAATGAGGTTTTTATAAAGATCACGAGTACACCCAATACTGAGCCCAATGAGAGAACTGAATAATAATCATACCTTATGCTGAGCGCTTTGCAAATCACAAAACGCGTTTTAATCTCTTCTTCCGTTAATCCCTACACAGTCATTAGGGAGGCAGAGCAGTTATTATCATATGTCTTATGGATGCACTAAGCGAGACAGAGGGAGCCCAGCGAGTTGCCCCACACCACACAGCCCCAGAGTGGCTGAGCAGAGCCCGGCGGGGGATTCAGCCCCTGAGGACCCTCAGTTCAGGCACCTCTTACGGCGGCATGCAGAGGCCCAGACTCGTGGATTCCCCAGGGTACATTCTCTGAACTGTCGACTTGGTGGGAGTTTCAGGGAATTCTGCAAAAAGGCAGCGGGAGGGTTTAGGAGGATCGGAGAGAAATGCTCAGAAGGTGCGGGGGAGGGGAAGGCAGTCGGGCAATCTTGCATTTAAAAAGGTAAAGAATTAGCGAAAGGTTTCAGTCGGCCGACCTCAGAGATGACATCCTTCTCCTTTCTCGGGGCTCCCAGAAACTGCTTCCTCGAAGAAAACGTCTGAGGCTTACATTTCATGTTACCTGCCTTGCTGGAGCAGCCCTGCCTCTGGGCGCGGCGGGGTTTGGGCTCCTTTGGCTTCCAGGCCCGGGCGCCATTCGGCGCGAGGTTGGGGGAGAGCCCGCAGGCCTCCTGCCGAGAAGCCCGGGGGGATGGGAGGGGGAAGTCGGCCTCGCATCAAAGCAATCAGAGAAACCCTGGGGGTCTATTGGCCTGCTTCTCTCCTCCGCAGCGGCTTTGCCCCAACTAATTTCCTGCCCGGGCCCTAACCCAGGTCCCGCCCTTTCCCACCCTTCCTGGCTTCACTCCGTACCAAGCATCACTAAAGTAAGGAAACAGGAAAAGAAAGCTGGGCCCTGGGGGTTTCTGTTTGGCTTTGCAAACCACTTATGGAGCGAGAAGTGGGGACCACAAATGGGGACCCCTGAGGAATGACCCCCTCCCCAGCCCCCTCTCCAGTTGAGTTACCAAATGAGGCCAATTCATTCTCTGGAATGTAGCAGCCGGGGCAATGATGATTGCTACTGACAGGGAAGCTTTCATGTAGCAATATCCCCGGCCACCGGCTGTGAGGCAAAGAGAAAGAACTCTCTGGAATTCACAACATCCCCCCTCCAATTAATCCCCAGCCGCCCCGCTGTGTGTGAATGGGCTGTGCTGGGGATTCGTAGCTCTGATGCGGGGGATTTGCTGATTCCTTTGAGCCCCCTGAGGAGAGGTGATATGGAGAGCAGATAATCAGCATGCAGCGCGGAGACGAGGTAATGAATTGGCTCGCCTGGGCCTGGCTTCACTATTTGTACACTTTTAGGCACCTCGGAAACTGGGTTTGCAGACAAAACCTGTGCCGAGGGGCCCTCAACCCCCGACCTTTTGTGGGCCTGGATAGCTGCCGCCTATCCCGCTCGCTTAAGGCGGGAGCCTTGTCTCCGAAAGGAGGAGCCGGAGGCGAAGGGAAAGGAGCCCGGATTCTAAGCGGGCCAGGCCTGAGCGGTACCTCTCCCGCCTCAGTCCCACGCTCACCCCAATGAGGTCGAGCTTTAACTCGGTTTTCATTCTCCTGCATTGCTGTTTTCAGTCTAAGTCCACTGCTTCTACGAATAAAATGCTGTTTATTTTTCCCTTGTAGCTCCAGGTTCGTCTCTGGCAAGAACGTGTGTTCAAGGCGTTGTGACCGTCCAACGTGAGTTATGATTTGCTGGATGTGGGGTCTGTCTGTCTCTGTCCGCTTCAGCGTCTCCCACCGTGCTAAAAGACAATGCTAGTGCCTGCCTAAAAAAAGTAACAGCTGACATTTATTGAGCACTTACTATGTGTCAGGCACTTAAGAGTTTATACGCATGATCTTAGGCAATCCTCAAAGTAATCTCTGAAGGAGATGCCAGTCTCCGGTTTCATTTTACAAGGAAGAAAAAAAGGCTTTGGAGTTCCTAACCGGCTTGGGGCCACGGAGTGGGGGCGCTAACTAGTAGGCAGGTGGAGTCAGATTCCCTCTGCACAGCCTCTGGGTCCCACACACCTCGTCTTCGTTTAGACGCTCACTGCTTCTCATCAGGTGCATCTGCTGCAGAGCTTCCTGCTTCCAAGCATGCAGACAGCAGCCCTCTCCCCCCTGCAGCCAGGGGGAATCTCTCTGAGACACCGCAATGGGCCATCCCCTTGCTTAGACTCCTCAAAGGTTCCCAGAAAGTTCAAACTCCTCAGCTTAGCACACAAGCCCCTTTATGACAGGCACCTGGAAAGAATTAAAGACAGACAGAGGCGATAATCCTAATCCCCTCTTGGGGGAGTTTGCTAGATGGGGCTGTGAAGGGAACCAGGGCCTCTTTCCCTCCGACTCTGGAGTCTACTTGTGGGCCTGGCTCCCCGAGGGCACTTCCCACTCTGACCCTGCCCCCATCTTGTCTTTCCTGGCAGTTGCCACTCTTTTCTTGCCTTCCTGGGTCCCTCTTCTTTCATTCAGGACTGAAGGCATTGGAGGCAGATTTTTGCTCCTGGTTCCACTATTGAAGGGAATTCAAGATGAACATTTTGGTTTTAAGGGTTTTTGTTGCCAGAAACCACAGGGCACTAGACAAAAACTATGACAAAGTCTCTAACTTTTCTATGCTCAGTGTCAACCAATCTGAATTTTCCTTGCGTGCCCGGAAATTACCTTTTATACGCTACAGTTGGGTTTTCCTCCATCAGCTGACAAACGAACGTTCAGGCTCTCCCATGGGTCCTGCATACCAGTCACTGTTCAGTTTCAGCAGCAGCATCATTGTTTTCCTAGCAGTGTTATTACAATTATTTAAGGATTTCATCATAAAGTGTCCCTATTTTATAAAAACACACATAAAACTGAAATATTCAACATTCTGTCAACTAATACTTATTGAGAGGCTGTTATAAGTGTGTGGGGAACTGTGGTGAACAGGAGAGTTAAGGGCCCTGCATTATGCCGAGAAAGACAGTGTACAAACAAATAAATATTCAAAAGCATGGTTAGCCACATAAGGAAATAAACCAGGGTGGTGTGATAGAGAAGTGGTAGGGACTGCTTTACATTAGTTAGAGGGGGAAAGGCTTTCTAAGCAGGTGAGATTTGAGCTGAGGTTTGAATGGTAAGAAGGATTCATCCCTAAGAATAATTGGAAGTAGAGCATTCAGGCAAGTGCCAGGGACAGAGGTGGGGAGAAGCTTGCCTTCTCTGAAGACGCAATAAGGCTGCTAGAAGGGCTGAGGTGTTTGGATGAGCAGGGGATGGGGTGGTATGTTACGCAGGAGATGTGAGCTAACAGATCTTTAAGATCTCGTAGGCCAATGGCTTTCAAACTCTTTTAATGTGACCCACAGTAAGAAATACATTTTATATTACAGTCCACTATCACACACATGCTCCTGAAAGAGTTCTTTCAATAAACTTTGATATTTTGTTTTATTTTAAAATGCTGATCCTTACCCAGTACATTGGTTTCACAACCTAGTAATGGCTTGGTTTGGAAAGCTCTGTCCTAGATTATAGTAAGCAGTTTGGATTTTATTCTCAGTATAATTGGAAACCTTTGGAAAAGTTGTACGCAGGAGAGTAACATTTAATTCACATTTTGAAAACTGACTTTGACTGCTGTCTAGAGAGCAAGTTTGTATGAAGGTGGGTGAGAGTAACAGCAGGGAGACCAGTTAGGAAGCTGTTGTATTTCATCTAGAGGAAGAAATAATGTTGGCTTGGTAGCTGAAGAGATTGAGAAAAGTGGATGAATACTATAAAATTTGGAGGTAAAGCCAACATTGGATGTGGAACGTGAAGAAGAGAAAGGAGGCAAGGATGACTCCAAGAGTTGTTTGGTTGTTTATTTTTAGCAATGAGTGGTATAGACCTTTGCTGAGATGAAAAATTGGGGGATGATTACATTTTGGGGAATGGGAATATTGTTTTGGGTATTTCAAGTTTAGGATATCTATACCTCCTATACCTCTTTTTTTTAAGATTTTTTTTTTGATGTGGACCATTTTTAAAGTCTTTATTGAATTTGTTACAATATTGCTTCTGTTTCATGTTTTGGTTTTTTGGCCGCAAGGCATGTGGGATCTTAGCTCCCAGACCAGGGATCGAACCTGCACCCCCTGCATTGGAAGGCGAAGTCTTAACCACTGGACAGCCAGGGAAGTTCCTATACCTCCTGTACATCTTATTGGAGATGTTAGACATATCAGTAAGGGTGTTTTGGTGAAAGATCAGAGTTGGCGATGAAGCTTTAAGAGGCAGTGGCACATGGATATTATTTAAAGCCATGGGACTACAGGTATTTACCTGGAGAGAACGTGTGGTTAGAGAAGAGCAGTAGGCTTCCTACTCCCCCCTTTCTGGATCACATCAACATTAATCGGTATAGCAGAGGAGAACTTCCATTCTGAAAATGATGCTTCTTGTAACAAAATGGAATATGAAAAATCATTAGATATACTGAGTCTCAAGTAGTCATCCATTGGATTTGAGGTGGACAACTGTGTGTTTAATTACAGAAGAAAAACTAAATCTAAGAATATGTAAGACATGCTGGTGGTAGATCATCTAAAGTGTAATTAGGAGTTTTATAATACATTTAACTTCCTGGGGGTAGAACACCTCTCACATTGTTTGCGTGACTTCGTGCTGAACTTTTACCCAGATAACTTTAGTGCCTGTTGTTTTTTAGGAATTCTTTACAGAAGTGGGGGACTGTTTATGTCATAGAATTTATTCTTTGACTCTCTCTAGCTAAATCAGGTTGTTCTTATTTCCTCACATCTGTGTTAGATGTTCTAGCTGAAGGAGTTTATACTCTCATTCAATCTAACTTTTCTTTCTGGGGCTGGAACACACCTATTTTTACCTTCCTTCGTAAGAAGACTCTACCCTTGGTCTTCCGTCTCTCCCTCTCTTCCAGTCAGATAGGGTGTCAGGATACCTTAATTGTAGTGCCATTCCAAGAAAAAGAAGACTCTTCCCTTTCTTCTTTTCTTCCCTTCCCTTTTCCTTCCTTCCTCCCTCCCCCCTTTCCTCCTTCCCATCCTTCCTTCCTTCTTTTTTTTTTCTCTTTCTCGAGGGCAGTGGTTTTCAAACTTCAAATGAAAATTTAAGTTAAAGCCCCAAAATAGAAAATAAACAATGGAATAATGGCGCCATTTTCTTCTCTTTGTAAGAACCTCATCCGCAACTTCATGAAATCCAAGGGTTCCACAGATCGTTACTGAAATGGATTCATTTCTTCTTTGAGGAGACTTCAGGTAGAGGAATCACTATTATCTGTGAGCCAACTGTTTACTCAGAGAAGGCAAATTAAGATTATTCTCTGTGACAGAGTCACTGATAGGATTCACCCTAGAGATATAATGGAGAGCCAGAGAGCTTACACAGATTGCCTCTTAAAGAGAACCACATTTCATTAGTTAATCAGAAAATATGGTATACTTAGTGATTTAAATAATTTATTAAAAAGATACTGGTGTGATTTTTTTTTCAAAAGGCAATGTAGTTTAAATAATGTTCACTTTGGAATCAGAAAACTTGAGTTTAATCTCCGCGTTACCTCTTACCAGCTTATAAGCCTGACATAAGAGCAAGTAATGTCACTTCTCTGAGCCTCAGATTCTTCAACTATTAGTTGGGCAAAAAATTTTCCTTATAGGTTTGTTGCAAAGATTAAGTAGAAATAAAACACAGAGCACCTAGTACCTGGGAGTACTTGTCATTACCATAAGTAGGCTCTTAAAATAAGACAAATAGTTATTATGATTATATATTTGCCTACTTTTAGTGACAAAGATTAAGGCCTGGGTTAGAGATGGCCTCCAACCCTGTAAATGCTGATGAGAATTCTGGCTGATATTGAAATAGAGCATGACATGTACTTAAGGGCTAAGTGAAATGGGTTTTGTAACACATGGTCATACTTTGGGTGACTTCTCAGAAATTCAAGTCTGTTATGTACCTAAGGAAATGAAAAAGCCAAAAAATTCTGGCACCTGGCTTAACGGCCTGGATTCTTTTGGGTCAATATAGTTTGTCCTCTTTGTTCTTTTTTTTTTTTTTAATAATTTTTTATAAGTTTTTTTAAATAAACTTATTTATTTTATTTATTTATTTTTGACTGTGTTGGGTCTTGGTTTCTGCACAGGCTTTCTCTAGTTGCGGCGAGCAGGGGCTACTCCTCATTGCGGGGCGCAGCCTTCTCATTGTGGTGGCTTCTCTTGTTGCAGAGCACAGGCTCTAGGCATACAAGGTTCAGTAGTTGTGGCTCACAGGCTCAGTAGTTGTGGCGCATGGGTTTAGTTGCTCCACGGCATGTGAGATCTTCCCAGACAAGGGCTTGAACCCATGTCCCCTGCACTGGCAGGCGGATTCTTAAGCACTGTGCCACCAGGGAAGCCCTGTCCTCTTTGTTCTTATTTCATAGAAGTTAGGTCCTGACCATAACTCATTTCTATGTTACTTCATCACTGGGATGCCTCCTTGAGTTTTTAGAGCACAGAACACAGAGGATAAACATAACCAAGACATCATATTTATGAAAATGGGAGTCTGCATAACTAAAAGTGAGTTTCATCCATTCATTCTTTCATTCATTTCATAAGTATCTCCCAAGCTTTGTGTACTGGGAACACCTATGTACAGACACTGTATTGTGACAATGACAAGACAGACAAAACTCTGCCCTC